GTGTATTTTTTTGTAGAGATAGGGCTTTGCTATGTTGGCCAGGCTGGTCTCAAACTCCTGGCCTCAAGTGATCCACCTGCCTTGGCCTTCCAAAGTGCTGGGATTACAGGCATGAGCCACCATGCCCAGCCAAAATTTCTTTCCTTTTTAAGGCTGAATAACATTCCATTGTTGGGATTTCTTAAATAAAAAATCACAATTTCCAGTATAAAGAATTATCTCTTTCTAATCATTTGAGAGTAAGACAGCAACTGATGTCCCATTACCCCTGAATACTGGTGTGTATTTACTATACACAAGGACATTTCTCTTTATAATAACCATATGGCTATCAAAGCGGGAAATTTACATTAATTCACTGCTACCATCTAACCCTCAGACTCCATTTAGGTTTCACAAATTATTTATAGTAAAAGGATTTTGTTCGGAATCACATACTGTATTTAGTGATCATGTCCCATTAGTCTCCTTCAGTATGGAAGAGTTCCTCAGCTTTTCCTCCATTTTTTTTTTTTTTACTTAAAAATTTTTTTTTATTCATATTTTTGTGATTATGTGACTCAACTGCAGAACACTTCCTTGATCTTAACACCTTTGAAAATTACAGACCACTTATTTTGTGGAATGTCTGTCCGTATGGGCTTGTCTGATGTTTCCTTCTGACTAGATTTAGATTATGCATATTTGTTTGTTTGTCTGTTTGTTTTGAGATGGAGTTTTGCTCTTGTTGCCCAGGCTGAAGTGCAGTGCCACAATCTCGGCTCACTGTAGCCTCTACCTCCCAGCTCCAAGTGATTCTCCTGCCTCAGCCTCCCGAATAGCTGGGATTACAGGCATCTGCCACCATGCCTGGCTAATTTTTTGTATTTTTAGTTGAGATGGGGTTTTGCCATGTTGGCCAGCCTGGTCTCCAACTCCTGACCTCAAATAATCTGCCCGCCTCGGCCTCCCAAAGTGTTGGGATTACAGGTGTGAGCCATTGCACCCGGCCTGGATTATGCATATTTGGCTGGAATATTACAGAAGTGATGCTGTATTCTCATTGCACTATCACGTGATCTCCATTTGCCCCATTACTGATGATGTTCACTCTGATCACCTGATTGATTTGGGGTCTGCCAGCCTTATCTACTGTACAGTTACTTTCTTATTATGATTAGTAAGTGTTTTATAGGGAGATCCTTTGAAATGGTGTAAATATCCCATTGCTCATCAGACCTTCAACATATTTATTTATATTGGTGGATTTATAGTTTCTTGTTTTATTTAATGAGTTACAATCTGATACTATGAGTGTTTCTTTTATGCTCGAAATATCCCAGATTTGGCCAGGGGGGAATCTCTTCTAATTTGTTTCTGTGTCCTTTTGATTTGTGTCTATTTTTTAAGTGGTTGCTTTCTTACACAAGATGTTATAGGTTCAAATGTGCTTTCCTTGCCCCAGCTCTAGGAATCAGCTATTTTCCCCAAGGAGCCCTGCCTGTTTCTTTCTAGTGAAGAATGATATTTAGAAGCCAAGATCTCTGTGCAATAAGTGTATTGATTAATACATGTGGGTAGAGAGGCAGGCTTACTGCCTCAATGCCTTCTCAGTGCCACAGCTGGGGCCTGTGTCAGTGCCACAGCTGGGAGGGGGGGAGAGAGAGAGAGAGAGAGAGAGAGAGAGAGAGAGAGAGTGAGTGTGTGTGTGTGTATGTGTGTGTGTGTGTGTGTGTAAAACCGTGACATCTCATTGGTATCTCCAACTCTAATCCAATACCCACAGGATTTTTTTCTCCCTTTCTATATTTGCGAGGATGACTATTTTTTAATTTTTATTTATTTATTTATTTTGAGACAGGGCCTAGCTGTGTTGCCCAGGCTAGAGTGCAGTGGTGAGATCTTAGCTCACTGCAGCCTCAAGCTTTTGGGCTCAAATGATCCTCCCACCTCAGCCTCCCAAGTATCTGGGACCACAGGCATGTACCACCATGCCTAATTTTTATATTTTTATAGGGATGGGTTTTACCATATAGCCCAGGCTGGTCGTGAACCCTTGGGCTCAAGTGATCCACCCACCTCAGTCTCCCAAAGTATTCAGATTACAGGCATGAGCCACCATGCCCAGCCTGGCTTTATTATTCTTAATATGTTTATTTGTTTGATCAGTTCCTGTCCTATCACTACTGGCCCCTCTCCCATGTAGAGCCTTCCTCACCCTACTTGGACTCTTGACTCCCCATGGTAGGCTGCCACCCCAGCGTGGGTGCCTTCCTTACCCTGCACAGACTCTGATATCCCGCACTGCTTAACCACCCTACACAGATACCCTCCTCATCCTGCTTGTGCTCTGACCCCCCCATAACAGGCCACCCCCTGCCATGAGTGGTCATCCTCCTCACCCTAGTTGGGCCTGTATACTCCATATTACTTCTCCCCGTGCATGGATACCCTTTTCACCCCACATGGGCTCTGACACCCCACCCTAGGCAGCCATCTTACAAGGCAGTGCTTATTCCCCTGCTCAGGCTGGCCCCCAGCATGGATGCCCTCTTCCACTGGTCCTGCTCTGACACCCTGGGCAGCTTGCTGTGCAGACGTCTTTCTCACCCTGCTTGGGCTCTGACATCCTGTATGGACATCTTTCTTACCTTCCTCAGGCTCTTCCACTGCTCTGAGCCACCATAGCTTTCTCCTTCACATACCTGATGGCTTTAGTTGGAATTGTTAGGAAGGGAAGGCTACATAGGCCTGGCCTTGAGTCTTGACTCCTCTGTTTACTAGCTGGGTAATGTTGGCAAGTTGTTCTTCTCTGAGCCTTGGTTCTGTCTTTGGAAAATGGAACTGATAATAGTCTCTCTTACAGTGGCATGAGGAGGACTAAATGCAAAGCACCTGGCTATACAACTGTATAAAGGAAGCATTCAACTAGTAACCGTTGCCATCTTTTTAATTTTCCCTGGGCTTAGCCTAAACGTGCCTAAGGCTGCCAAAGTACTTTATCTCTGACTCTGGCCCTTCTGTTAATCTTGCAGGTCTACTTTGAGGATGAGGACAGGGCAGAACTGTACCGGGTGCCTGCCAAGAGCACCTTGCTGCAGGTTCTACAGCACCACAGGTGAGTCACCTCATGGCGCCGAGTAGACTGGGGAAGATGCTCAGTGTATTAGTCCATTTTCACACTGCTGATAAAGACATACCTGAGACTGGGCAATTTACAAAGAAGAGAGGTTTAATGCACTCACAGTTCCATGTGGCTAGGGAAGCCGCACAATCATGACAGAAGGTAAGGAGGAGCAAGTTGCCTCTTACGTGGATGGCAGCAGGAAGAGAGAGAGCTTGTGCAGGAAAATTCCTCCTTTTTTTTTTTTGAGATGGAGTTTTGCTCTTGTTGCCCAGGCTGGAGTGCTGTAGTGCAATCTCAGCTCACTGTAGCCTCCGCCTCCTGGGTTCAAGTAATTCTCCTGCCTCAGCTTCCTGAGTAGCTAGGATTACAGGCATATGCCACCACGCCCAGCTAATTTTTGTATTTTTAGTAGAGACAGGATTTCACCATGTTGGCTAGGCTGGTCTCGAACTCCTGACCTCAGATGATCCACCTGCCTCAGCCTCCCAAATTGCTGGGATTACAGGCGTGAGCCACTGCTCCCAGCTGAAAACTCCCGTGTTTAAAAGCATCAGATTTCGTGAGACTTAGTCGCTATCATGAGAACAACACAGGAAAGATACACCCCCATGTTCAGTCATCTCCCACTTGGTTCCTCCTGTAACACATGAGAATCATGGGAGCTAGAAGATGAGATTTGGGTGGGGATACAGAGCCAAACCATATCACTCAGGCAATATCCCAGGAATATAGTCAGGTTCTTATTCCATTGCTGGTTGATTACCTCATACTCCCCTCCTGTCTGCCCTGAGCACAACAGCCATGGAGACTGGCCTGGCCCTTTAAACTTAGCCATTGATCAAACACACTCTAGTGTGATGATAGTGCACTGCATCACAGCCATGACACTCCAGACCAGGGAAGATAAACGAGGCTGGTCTGAGAAGGGAAAAGCAACCTGGCTTTTGTACATGTACATGAAGGCTGCTGTGATGGCCTTCCTTTTTTTTTTTTTTTTTTTTAATTCCTTTTGAGACAGAGTCTCACTCTATCACCCAAGTAGCTGAGATTACAGGCACTCACTACTACACCGGGCTAATTTTTGTATTTTTAATGGAATCGGGGTTTCACCATGTTGTCCAGGCTGGTCTCAAGCTCCTGACCTCAGGTGATCCACCCCTGTTGGCCTCCCAAAGTGCTGGAATTACAGGCATGAGCCACTGGACCCAGCCAGCCTTCCTTTTCCTAATTGTACCTATACCTGTGCCTCCTGGTACTGTTTCTTTTGTTTGTTTTTTCTTATTTTTAATTTTTTTTTTTTAAATAGAGACAGGGTTTTACCATGTTAGCCAGGCTGGTCCTGAACTCCTGGGCTCAAGCAATCCACCTTCCTCAGCCTCCCAAAGTGCTGGGATTAGAGGTTTGAGCCACCACATCCAATCAACATTTTTTTAATTTTTTGAGACGGAGCCTTGCTCTGTCACCCAGGCTAGAGTGCAGTGGCGTGATCTTGGCTCACTGCAACTTCCACCTCCTGGGTTCAAGCAGTTCTCCTGCTCAGCCTCCTGAGTAGCTGGGACTACAGGCATACACCACCATGCCTGGCTAATTTTTGTATTTTCAGTAGAGAGGGGTTTTTACCATGTTGGCTAAGGTGGTCTCGAATCCTGACTTCAAGCCATCCACCGATCTCAGCTTCCCAAAGTGCTGAAATTACAGGTGTGAGCCACCACACCCAGCCCCTAAATTTTGTTTTTTTAATTATTTTTATGATAGAGACAGGGTATCTTCTCCAGGGTGGTCTTGAACTCCTGGGCTCAAGCAGTCCTCCCGCCTCATCCTCCCAAGTAGCTGGAATATCGAGTGCATACCATCGTCCTGGCTCCTGATGCTATCATCTGAAGAGAATGTTGGCTCTTGAAGTCAGACCCATCGTCATTTACTAGCTGAAGGACTCTAAGGACACACTGCCTCTCCGGGGCTGCCTCCTCATCTCTCGAACGGGAGATTCGAGAGATCTCGTTGGCCCACACATTTCTCAGGTTATTTGAGAGCTAATGAGAGGCTAGGAGGTCAAGTGCTGTTGTGAAATAACACAGGGCAGTCCTGCTGTAGGAGGGCATCTTTGTCATTAGCAGTGGCAGCAAGTGGGGTTTGGCAGTTGTCTCAGAGCAGCTGTGAGGTGTTCCTGGACTATAAGGGAATGCCCTCAGCAGATCTGCAAATTGACGCTTGGACTACTTTTCCTTAAGCTTTGAGCAAAGCAAAGAAGAGAAAAGCAGATGCTTTTGCACTTAAGCTAAAAGAGCCCAATGTATTAGTGTAAAGGGAGTGGTTGGATGTGGTAGGAAATGAGGCTAGAAAGCTAAGTTAGGGCCATACAGGAAGGCCTGAATGCCCTGCTTAAGAAGTGTAAACATTATCCTGATCATGGTGTACATGAGGGTTGCTTTTTAAAAATTTAAAAGATTTTAAAAGATGTACAGAATAGGCTGGGTATAGTGGTTCACACCTATAATTCCAGCACTTTGGGAGGTTGAGGATGAAGATCACCTGAGCCCAGGAGTTAGAGATCATCCTGAGAAACAGCGAGATCCTGTCTCTACAAAAAAAGTTTTTTAAAAAAATTGGCCAGGTTTGGTGGTGTGCACCTGTAGTCTTAGGTACTTGGGAGGCTGAGGCAGGAAGATTACTCGAACCCAGCATTTTGAGGCTGCAGTGAGCTATGATCATACCACTGTACTCCAGCCTGGGTGATAGTGAGACCCCGTCTTCCTCCCTCCCCCAGAAAAATTACAGAGTAAGAGTAAAGATTTGAAGTGTACTGTTCAATGGTAAGGCCTGAAGTAGGAGGAGGTGGATTAGAAAGGGGTTTAGGAGGCAGATTGGATGGGAGTTGGTGATGTGGTGGGGGTGTCCAGCTAGTCTTAATTCCTTGGCTTTGGCTTGGTAGACAAGAAGGAAAGGTTTTTCAGGATCTGATTGATACCTTTAGTGGTGTTTTTCTCTGGTCCCAAATCTTTCTTCTAGTTTGTGGACAAATTTTCAGCTGCTCATTTTCTCAGTTGTTAGCAAATTACCCAGAATTCTTTAAAGGCCTGAGTTCTGCCCTACTCAGGAGAGTAGGAGAAATCTGAATAGAAAACAGACTGAGGCTTGGAGGAAACCCAATTTCATGCTTTTCAGAAAATGTAAATGCTGTTGGAAGTTACTACCTTTAAAACTATTGCCATAGGCAAAAGGCTATGCAGGACTGGTTTCTGTCAACTTTAGACCCTAAACTGGGAGGAGCCATGAAATAGGTCCTCTGTCCCAAACCCAGTCCACTGAGTAATGCAACACCCCATCCCCGGAGGCCAAAGTCTTGCCTGCCTCTCCAGCCTGCCTCACTCCTTTTTCTTTGTGCCCTAGCCGGCAAACCTTGTGGTTACTTGTACCTCCTGGCTTTGGCTCCTCAACCCTCATCAGCACCCCTTCTCCAAATTAAAGCCAAGTTCAGACATGGCATCTTCCAGGAAGACTTTTTTGATTTTCCTTCCCTGAAGAGGGAATCGTGCCTCCTTGGGATAGTGCTGTGCCTCACAAATGCTTCTGCAGTTGTACCTTGCTGTCATTAAGTGGTTCCTCATCTCCCTTCCCTCTAGGACTGAATTTAAGAACGAAGATGATGGTGTGTGTCTTTGTTTTTTAATCTCTGTGTTTTCAGCACAGGGCCTGGCTTACCACTGAATGTTTAATGAATGAAACTATATTTTATAGTTTTATTTCGAATTTAGCCACAGACATGCATGATGCCGAAGAACTGGGCTAAAGGTTCTGGCTAGGTTGTAAGGATGAGAATGTCATGCTAATTTGCTAGATTTGTGAACAACCAAATAACTGTGCTAAACTTGCATTTTCATGTTGACTCACATCCAAAGGCTCACCTTGAATGTTGTTAGGAAGATGGATGAATGATTAAGATTGTAATTCAATTAACGCCCTCTCTTTTAAATGTGTTCACGGCAGGTACTTTGTAAAAGCCCTGACACCAGCATTTTTGGTCTGTGTAAGATCCTCTCCTTTTTGCAAGAATTATCTCCGGGGGAGAAAGGTGCACCAGATAAGATGACTGAGTCAGGCCCCCTGGATCTCCTCCTTCACCCTCCTCTGCTGGGAACCTAGCACATCTGAATCAGCTGGACATACTGCTGGAGTCCAATGCTTTATTTCTGTCACCCTGACGATAGTCCTTCCTAGCATCATGGTGGGGAGGAGCCTCTGGCTTCCCCGAACTGTAGCCTCTCTGGCTGGTCTTCGCTTTCTTCAGTTGATGTAAAACTCCATCTTGGCCATGACGTCCTTGGACTCCATCTCTAAAGGGACCATCTGCTGCAGTTACCACAGCAGCCGACCTGAGTGACACCCTGGTCTGTGGAGATGAATTCAGGATCCAGTGACATGTTTCTGAACTTTTGTGGAGTTCGATACCTTAGAGAGGCTACCCCTCAAACTGCACATCTCCACACAAACAAACTGTGCATAGGATTCCAAGGCTTAAAGCTGAGAGACCCTGGTCTCAAGTTACTTCATGAGCACAGAGGGAAGCCAGGTAGGGTTGCTATAGATACCTCGAGGTGAAGTGGGGACAGAAAGCCACATCCTGCTCTGCATTATTAAGACCATGCAAACTGAGATCCCTGGTACTCCTAAAAAGACTGCCAGTTTTCTTCAACTTTGCCATATGGAGGACTGTGACATACTTGGACAGTGGCCTCTGAGTTCCTCTGCAGTTTTCACATTTTAGGATTTTATGTCTTTTAAACTGGAAAATCTTCTAGTGTGTTGGGCTGTATTATAGGGTATAGCAGTTTATCCATCCTGACCTGTAGCTGTAACTTCCTGCAGTGCCCACCCCATCCCCCGGGAGAGTGTACTTCCTTGCTCCTGATGCAGAGGGATGTGAGCGGGCATGAGCTGTCCTGTGTCTGACAGAAGCCTGAAGAGCCGTGTGTGGTTGGCCCATGCTCTTCCCTCTGCCGTGAGAACACGTTTTCCACAGAGGAGCCATTCCATGGAGCTGAGCTACAGCAGCTGGCCTGCAGCCACTGAGTGTCACAGGAATCAGAGAGCAATGTTTGCCATAGTAAGCAATGAGATTTGGGGATTGGTTGTTACTATAGCAGAGCTGACTAATACATTGGTAAACTAAAGCCAGCTGCTGTCCTTAAAGTGGACTTATTTGAGGCTGGGCACGGTGGCTCATGCCTTTAATCCCAGCACTTTGGGAGGCTGAGGCAGGTGGATCACCTGAGGTCAGGAGTTGGAGACCAGCCTGGCCAACATAGCAAACCTCATCTCTACTGAAAATACAAAAATTAGTCAGATATGGTGGCAGGCATCTGTAATCCCAGCTACTCAGGAGGCTGAGGCAGGAGAATTGCTTGAACCTGGGAGGCAGAGTTTGCAGTGAGCTGAGATTGCAACACTGCACTCCAGCCTGGGAGATGAGCAAAACTCCATCTCAAACCCCAAAAAAACAGTGGACTAATTTTGAGTTTTGCATAGTGTGCCTCACTGTCTTTGAAAGGAAATTGGCTGTGGAATACTTAGAAAGAACCATGCAGCATCCAGGTGCTGGTCCCTGCCTGTGACTTGTAGTCAGGAAGCTGAAATTCTTTGTAAGTATTCCACGAGCCTGTAGAAGCTGAAGTTCTTTGTAAGTATTCCATTCCTTCCTAGGCCTCGTTTTGGCCACTTTAGGGCCTGAGGACCAGGAGGCTGATGGACATGCGGTCTTCTGTGCATTCTCTACCATTAGACCTAGGAGAGGCAGAGAAAGTGATTTTAGGGATTGTTCCTTATATATGAGGAAGTTTAATAATATCTTCTCAGAGGATTGTTTTGAGGATTAAATGGCTGGCACCTGGCGCATAGTAGGTACTTAGTAAGCATTGGTTGTTATGGGTACCAGGCACTTTTATAGCAGGAGTCCCTAGTCCCGGGGCATAGACTGGTACCAGTTCATGTCCTGTTAGGAACGAGGCCAGGCCGCACAGCAGTTGAGCGGCGGGTGGAAAAGCATTACCGCCCAAGCTCCACCTCCTGTCAGGTCAGTGGTGGCATGAGATTCTCATAGGAGCGCGAACCCTGCTGTGAACTGCGCGCATGAGGGATCTAGGTTGTGTGTTCCTTATGAGAATCTAATGCCTGGTGATCTCAGGTGGAACAGTTTCATCCCAAAACCATTCTCCTCCCCGCCCTGTGGAAAAATGGTCTTCTACCAAACTGATCCCTGGTGCCAAAAAGGTTGGGGACTGCTGCTGTATAGGACAACTCTTTGCCTAGGATGATTCTTCCCTGACTTGATCCCAGATGAGGAACTGCCATGGCTCTAAGGCCTCATGAAGGGTGGGCCTCTCCACAAGTGGACTCAGCCGTTAGGAGTCATCACCCGAAATCCTGGATTCCAGAGGCATAGCCAGACTGAAAAGGGACCTGTGTCTTTATTTAAAAAATTAAAATATATATTTCGTAGAGATGGGGTCTCCCACTGTTGCCACGGCTGGTCTCAAACTCCTGGTCTCAAGTGATCCTCCCACCTCAGCCTCCCAAGGCATTGGGATTACAGGCATAAGCCACCGACCTGTCCTTGCGTGTTTTCGAATGCCCTGGATAGAAGGCAGGAGCCCTAGGACCTGCTGACAGGGCCAGTCCCCAGGGACTGCCTAATCCTAGCAAGTCCCCGCCCTCCCTGGGCCTTGGCTTTTCTATCTAAAAAATGGGAACAATATACTAGAAAGTACTGCATCTTGTAAGGCTTATTATTCCTTTTATTTTTATTTATTTTTGAGATGGAGCCTTGCTCTGTTGCCTAGGCTGGAGTGCAATGGCACAATCTTGTCTCACTGTAACCTCTGCCTCCCGGGTTCAGGCGATTCTCCTGTCTCATCCTCCCGAGTAGCTGGGATTACAGGCGTGCGCTACCATGCCCAGCTAATTTTTGTATTTTTAGTAGAGACAGGGTTTTACCATGTTGGCCAGGCTGGTCTCGAACTCCTGACCTCGTGATATGCCTGGCTCAGCCTTCCAAAGTGCTGGGGTTACAGGTGTGAGCCACCATACCCGGCCTTATTATTCCTTTTAAACAGATGTAGCATAAATCCACCAGAAAGGTAGTGTTCTAGCCTACAGACAGCATGAGTTGTAGTTTTTTTTTCCTTTCTTCATATTCCTTTTTTTTTTTTTGAAATGGAGTTTTGCTCTCGTTACGCAGGCTGGAGTGCAATGGCGCGATCTCGGATCACTGCAATTCCGCCTCCCAGGTTCAAGTGATTCTCCTGTCTCAGCTTCCTGAGTAGCTGGGATTACAGGCCTGTGCCACCACGCCTGGCTAATTTTGTATTTTTAGTAGCGATGGGGATTCTCCAGGTTGGTCAGGCTGGTCTCGAACTCCCAACCTCAGGTGACCCGCCCACCTCAGCCTCCCAAAATGCTGGGATTACAGGAGTGAGCCACCACATCCAGCCTGTATGAGAGATTCTAAGCCTGATTTATACTTGGAATCATTCTTGATACCCAGCAGATACTAGTTTGAACTCTGGCTCTGCTGCATAAAGTTTCTGTGCATGTCAGTTAATCACCCTGAGCCTCAACGTGATCATCTGTAAATCTGGGCAAAAATCCTGCTGAATATGGGGGGTTAGGGAGTGTTGCAGTGCTCCAGGAGTTGCAGCATATTCAGTGCCTTTGCTTAATGCCTGGCATGTGATAAGTAGTGCTCAGCAACCCTAAGAACCCAGCCAAAATCATGGGCTGGACAAGACCTTTCCCTGAGACATGGCTGAAAGAAATATCACCCAGATCTGCAAGCCCCAGAAGGTGGCAAAGAAAACCAGCTTCAGGGTCCTGAGGTCTGCAGGCTCCCTGTCCGTGGGCATGGCGCCTGCCACCGGCAATCTCTCCATAGGTACTCCTGCTGCTTTAAAGGCCCGGAGCAAGGCCTAGAGCTGAATCCTCAGCCAGTGGAGTGAGGGGCTGCCTCTGCCGCCTAACAGCAGTCCACCCACTTACCCTGACTGTGCCCAAACCCTGGCCTCTCCAGGGGTTTTCCCCAACTGCTCACATCAACCTGATTACAGTTCCTCTAACACACCAGATGCTTCATATGTCCATGTCTTTGCTCCAGTTCCCTTTACTTGGAATGTCCTTCCCCTGCCTGGCCTACCTGCCAAAAACCCACCTATCTTCGGAGGTGTTTTCTTCACTAGGATGTTTCCACTGCCTGCTGGCAGTGCTGGCTTGCCCTGATGTGCATGCTGATACCCCCATACTCACCCTCCATCTGTCCTGTCCCTGTAATACTGCATGGCACCTGGATGTCCAGGTGTCTGCCTCCCCTTCCAGCAGGTAAGCTCCATGTGTATGAGTGAGCTGAATGGATGGATGGATGAACCAAAGAAAGAACGAACTAATGAATGAAAGAATAAAATAAGCCAGTGCCCTGTTCCCAGGCCCCCACTTGCACACACAGGTTCAGCAACAGCATTCCCAGGCTCTGCCTTTTTTGGCCTCTGCTATGCATCTATTCCGGTTGCAAAGTGTGGCTGCACCTGGCATTCCGGGTTCCTGCCCACAGAAAGTGCAGGGCTTCCCTCTGCCCTGTGCCTGCGGAGGGTAGGACTAGAACCGGGCCAGGGTGGGAGTCCCAGCTGTGGCTGGCTCATGTGCAGCTCAGGAAGGTCCGTTGCTTATGGCAGCCAGCCACGGAGCCTAGGCCCTGCTGCAGCGCTGCATCTCCAGGAGCCAGGCTGAGCCAGGTGAAGGGCCCTGAGCACTTCCTGCTGGTGGGACAAGGAGTGAGGCCAATGCTCTCCGCAGGGGATGTGGGCCTCCCCTGCCACCGTGCCCATGCCTGGGACTCCAGCAGAGCCAACCCCCCCTGCCTCATCTATGAGGGCCAGGCCAAGGCACCTGCACGGACATCCACACACCTGAGCACAGGGCAGAGCCTCTTGTACCCGCCATCCCTGAAGCGGAGTGCTGCCCTTCCTTCTCAGGGCCAGGGATCAGTGATGGAGGTGGGACCACCTGACTTCTGTCTAGTTACCTCTATGGATTTGGGGTGGCCGCTGAAGAAGGGGCTCTGGGGACAAAGCCCCTGAAATACACTGCAGGCAAACAAAGAAAGGCACTGTTCACACTGAATTCTGCACCAAGCTAACCGCTGTACCTGGATTTTCTTAATCCCCATGGCC